GGCTGCCACGGTGGCCTCCTGGGGCCGGTGGGGGTGGGCTTAGGGCGCGGGGAGGAGTGGGAAGGCCTGTCAGGGCGGGGAACCTGCGGGGGGTGGTCCTGCCTGCCTCCCGACGCAGCGTCTTCCCCCCGCCCCCAGGCCTGCGCCCCCAAGGACCCCGGCCCGGCTCCCCTCCCCTAGGCCCGTTCGAGCGCGCTGCTAGCCGCCATGAAGGGCCTGTGCTTGGCGCTCCTGGCCGCCCTGCTGTGCTCGGCGCCCGGTGAGTGCGGCGCCCGGACGCGCCGGCCTGGGGATGGCTGTGCGAACGCCCCTCCCCCCCTCCTACGGGCCCGGCGACCCCAGCTCTGCCCCTGCCCCGCCCCCTCTCCCCACGCGCTCCTTCCTGGCACCTTCCCCCTCGTGGTCTCAATGCCCAGGCTGCAGGCCCAGCACCTGGGCCCACTGCCCAGACTCGGCCGCCGTAAAGGGGGGTGGGGCAGAGGTGGGAGGATTCCCAGGGCCCCAGCAGGGTCACAACCTGTGCTGGCCCCTCCTGGTCACCTGTGTGGCCAATCCCTCCTGGCCTGGCCGGCGGGTGGATTCTGGTCCAGCCCCACAGAGCCTCTAGTGCAGCCAGACCCTGTGGGTGGGGCCGACCTGCCGCGGTCCCTCTGCTCAGGCCCCCTCTGCCCGCCCAGCTTGTGGCCTGTGGTGTCAGGACTGCACACTGACCACCAACTCCAGCCACTGCACCCCGAAGCAGTGCCAGCCCACAGACACCGTCTGCGCCAGCGTCCGCATCACTGACCCCAGCAGCAGTGAGTAGGGGCGGGCTGCCCTGGGCCCCTGCTCCAGGACTGGTTGGGCTGGGGGCCCCTGGGCTGGATGGCAGGTGACCCTCTGGGATGTGGAGGCTGGCTGGGGGCCTGGGGTGGTGGTGATGGGACCCGGCCCAGAGCCCAGCCCCATCCTCTTGCAGGCAGGAAGGACCACTCGGTGAACAAGATGTGCGCCCTGTCCTGTGACTTTGTGAAGCGGCACTTCTTCTCAGACTATCTCATGGGCTTCATCAACACAGGGGTCCTCAAGGTGGACGTGGACTGCTGCGAGAAGGACTTGTGCAACCAGGCCTCGGCTGTGGGGGGCAGCCCCTGGACCCTGGCCGGGGGCCTGCTCCTCAGCCTGGGGCCCGCCCTCCTCTGGGCTGGGCCCTGAGGTCCCCCCCTCCTGCAGGGCTTGTGAGCGTGCCCCCTGAGCCTGTCTCTGCCCCTCCCCAGCCTGGCAGGGCAGGGGCTGAGGCAGCCAGCACTCGCCCCACCTTCTATGGCTCTGGCCCCTCCCCCCTAAGAAGCCTCCTCCCTCCACCGGCGCTGAGCGCCCAGCAGCTGGACAGCTCCAGGAAAGAGGGCGGAACTCGCCAGGTGCGGCAGCAGACCCGTAGTCTGGACTGGATCCGGGTCTGAGGCAGGGCGAGGGCAGGCCAGCCTGGGCGGGATGCAGGTGGTGGAGGGCTGAGAGTTTGGGCAGGGACCAGGGGGCCCGCGGTGTACAGCCAACCAGAGTCTTAGCCTGGTCCGGTTTGGGGGCACCTGGGGGTGAGGGGGATTGAAGTCAGCAAGATTCTTTGGGAGCAGTCTGGAAGGGGGAGGCGGTACAACTGTATGAGCTTACTGGATACCCTGACAGGCTCAGACATACACTAGCACACACACAATGTATACACCCCCAGCATAGTGTACATATACACACAGTATACACACTCAGTACACACACAGCACAAACTGCACGCATAGTGCATACACACAGTGTACTCATATATACACCCCAGGATATGCACATCCCCAGCATAGTGTATATACACAGTGCACACACACAGTACGCACACACACAGCACAGTGTACCAGCAACACACAGTGTATACACACCTGTAGGGTATACACATCCCCAGCATAGTGTACATACACACAGTGCGCACACACACAGCACAGTGTACCTGCACACACACACAGTGCATACACACACACAGAGCACTGCCAATTCACAATATACAGCATACAGTGCATCCCTCCCAGGGCATTCACACCCCCAGCACAGTGTACACACACACACACACACACACACACACACACACA